GCACTCTACCAAGGGTGACAGCTTGAGGCTCTGTCTCAAAAAAAAAAAAAAAAAAAGAAAGAAAATATGTGAAGATAATATTAACCATTAATTTTAGTTCAATCTTGATTTTAATCAGTTGCAGGGGGGTTAACTATGTGCTGTTTTAACAGTTTTGAAATATAAATCTTGTATAAATCCATACATAAATCATTCATTCATAGTGATTTAAAAAGATTGTCCACATGTACTTATCTGGGAATGGGAACTATAGGAAAGAAAAGTCTTGGCCAGGCAAAGTGACTCAGGCCTGTAATCCTTGAGCCAAATCCTGTAGCCTTGATGCAAGAATGGAATATTAGGGAATTATTTTGTTTTGAATTGGGATCATCTTGTGGAGTTCTAAGAACCTAAAAACAGACTTGGTGCCTGTGGCTCAAGTGGCTAAGTCACCAGCCACATACACCTAAGGTGGCAGGTTAGAATCCAGCCCAGACCCACCAAACAGTAATGGCTGCAACCAAAGAATAGCCAGGCATTGTGACAGGTGCCTGTGGTCCCAGCTACTTGGGAGGCTGAGGCAGGAGACTCGCTTGAGCCCAGGAGTTGGAGGATGCTGTGAGCTGGGATGCCATGGCACTCTACTCAGGGTGACAGCTTGAGGCTCTGTCTCAAAAAAAAGGACCTAAAAACAGTTTATTTTAAAGAAATAAGAAGATCCAATTGGCTCAGTGCCTATAGCTCAGTGAGTAGGGTGCTGGCCACATACACCGAGGCTGGTGGGTTCAAGCCTGGTCCCGGTCTGCTAAACAATAATGTCAACTGCAACCAAAAAATAGCCAGGTGTTGTGGTGGGCACCTATAGTCCCTACTGGGGAGGCTGAGGCAAGAGAATCGCTTAAGCCCAAGAGTTTGAGATTGCTGTGAGCTATGATGCCATGACACTCTACTGAGGGTGACATAGTGAGACTCTGTCTCCAAGAAGAAAAACAAAATCCAATTGGGTAACTGAACTTTATTGCAGATGTGAAAAAAGTTTCTTTGAAGCTAGAGATCTTCGTCAACACATGAACAAACATCTTGGTGTGAAGCCATTCCAGTGCCAATTTTGCGATAAGTGCTACAGTTGGAAGAAAGATTGGTATTCCCACGTGAAGTCTCATTCTGTCACTGAGCCTTATAGGTGAGTACATTTGAGAAGAATCTGAACTTGAAATGTATATGTGCTTTGATTTATGGCTACTGGTGAATTAGAAAAAATAATTTCATTTTTTTCCCTATTTCAGGTGTAATATATGTGGCAAAGAATTTTATGAGAAAGCTTTGTTCAGAAGACACGTAAAGAAAGCTACCCATGGGAAAAAGGGGAGAGCAAAACAAAACCTGGAACGGGTGTGTGAACAGTGTGGAAGAAAATTCACTCAGTTAAGAGAATATAGAAGACACATGAACAACCATGAAGGTAACTCACTTAGCATGATATGCACTTCAGTAGAATAAAAGCCAAAGTTCTCCCTCCACCAGCTCTCTTACTGTACTTGATAAGAGACTGATTTCATATTTTTATTCAAGTGACAGAAATGATCCTGAACCCAAGTACCTAGTTATGGTATAAGTAGATAGATTCCTTTTTTGGTGAGCTAAATTCTACATCAACATTGTTATACTGAACTAAATTGTTTGAAGCCTCTATTTCATTACCCTTGGATTATAGGATTGCTGTGAAGGAATATAAAATTTGTCTCTCAGTAACTTCTATCTATGGGAATGTCTTTAGACAGATAATAGTTCAGAATCTTTTTTTCTTTTTTAAGCTTGAGACAGAGCCTCAAGCTGTCACCCTGGGTAGAGTGCTGTGACATCCCAGCTCCCTCCAACTCCTGGGCTCAAGCTAGTCTCCTGCCTCCGCCTCCCAAGTAGCTGGGACCACAGGCGCCCACCACAACACCTGGCTATTTTTTGGTTGCAGCCATCATTGTTGTTTGGCAGGCCTGGGCTGGATTCGAACCTGCCACCTCAGGTGTATGTGGCTGGCACCTTAGTCACTTGAGCCACAGGCGTCGAGCCTATAGTTCAGAATCTTAATTTATTCTAAGTAAATCCATTAGGTCCCAATTAATGACTGCGTAGTTGAGACAATAAGATATGTAGGCTACTGTTATTTAAAAAAAAATTATTAAAGGCAATTTAAATATATTTTGGGGCTGGGTGCAGTGGCTCAAGCCTGTAATCTCCACTCTGGGAGGCCAAAATGGATGGATTGTCTGAGCTCACAGATTCGAGACTAGCCTGAGCAAGAGCAAAACCCCATCTCTTTAAAAAAAAAAAAAAAAAAGGCAGGGCGTTGTGGTGGGTGCCTGTAGTCCCAGCTACTTGGAAGGCTAAGGCAAGAGAATCACTTGAGCCCAAGAGTTGGAGGTTCCTGTGAGCGGTACTCTACCCAGGGCAACTGAGTGAGACTCTGTCTCAAAAAAATAAATAAAATTAACTAAATTAACTAAATCAGGCTTGGTGCCTATAGCTTAAGCCACATACACCAGAGCTGTCAGATTCGAATCCAGCCTGGGCCTGCCAAAACGATAATGACAACTATGACCAAAAAAATAGCCAGGCGTTGTGGTGGGCGCCTGTAGTCCCAGCCAGGAGTTGGAGGTTGCTGTGAGCTGTGATGCTATAGCACTCTACCCAGGACCAACAGCTTGAGGCACTGTCTCAAAAAATAAATAAATAAATAAATAAATAAATAAATAAATAAATATATTTTGGTACTTGTACCTCACCACACATGTACTTTTTTTTTTTTTAAATAGGAGTTAAGCCATTTGAGTGCTTAACATGTGGAGTAGCTTGGGCTGATGCCCGATCTCTAAAACGTCACGTCAGAACACATACTGGTGAACGGCCCTATGTCTGTCCCGTTTGTAGTGAAGCCTACATAGATGCTCGAACACTCCGGAAACATATGACCAAATTCCACAGAGACTATGTGCCTTGCAAAATTATGCTGGAAAAAGATACCCTTCAGTTTCATAACCAAGGAACTCAAGTGGAGCATGCTGTTAGCATCTTAACAGCAGACATGCATGGACAAGAAAGTAGTGGTCCTCAAGAACTTGAGACTGTGGTAGTGACAGGAGAAACCATTGAAGCTCTTGAGGCTGTTGCAGCTACTGAAGAGTGCCCATCGGTATCTACGCTTTCTGACCAAAGTATTATGCAAGTAGTGAATTATGTATTGGCACAACAGCAAGGACAGAAGCTGTCTGAAGTTGCAGAAGCTATTCAGACTGTTGAAGTAGAGGTGGCACATATTGCAGAAGCAGAATGAATATGGTAACAGATAAAAAGTGATATACACTGAACTCATGGAACATTCGTTTACAATGTTGTGTGACTATCCGCTTAGCATTTACATGTCAAGGCTCTGGACTATTTGGTGGTATAACATTTCCCAGCCTTTTGTCTGGCCATTGGGTTCTCTTGAAAAGTCTATTTACTGTAAAGAAATTGAAAACAAATATATTTGATGGCAGTGATATATCATGATAGACCTTTTATGAATTAATGTTTATAAATGACTATACTAAATTTAAGACCGTACAGTTCTGTTTGTATTATGACATTATCTTATTATATATTTAGAGTTTAAAAGCCTGCAGCAGTTGGCGTCTTTCTGTTTTATTCTCAAAATACAGAGATTCTGTGATTTCATTTGCCCTGTTTATAGATTAAAAACATTCTAATATAAAGCATTTCAGTAGAATGCATAGGTATATTACGTTTTTTAAATGCTTTAGGTCTGTGATTCTTGACTATTTATTTTAACCCCTTTTAAGTCAGGGATTCTTTGTTCTATTTTAAAGCACTTAATGAGTTATGTGTTGTAATCAAGTTTGCACAATATATTTATATGGGGAGCCTGTAAATGAATAGCTAATATTTTAAATGCCATTAAAATGCATGAAATGCCTATTAAAGCCTTACTGTACTCTTCAAGGCAAGTAATTGACCATGAGTGAAGAACATTGTTATTAAACACTGTTAATGGGAAATTTCTCCTTGATAACAAAGGACAATAAATGACAAGAAAAATCTCATTCTTTTGCTGAAGAATGAACAAGTTAATGAATGAACAGTTAGGTTTGCTATGGTTTCAGCTTTTGTATCATGTTTAATTGTTTAATTTTGTTGAAAAACTGCAGTTGCAAAATAGGATAGCAATATAAACATTACAGCGGTCCTGTGGATACCATATGATTGTCATGTAATTTCAGAGTATTGAAAATTCTTCAGTGCAGCCCTCATTATAGTGTATACTTCAAGAAATTGATTATGGTCCCACCAAATTGTTGAAGATAACTTATTTTTAAAAGTTACCCGAAAACTAAATTATATTAATTCATGTGTTTATTTTTAAAATTCTCACCTCTTTAAGCTATCCAGTTTTCTGATTTTCAAAATAAGCATGGGAGATGTCACATTTCTCTCTAGGAAACTACTACTCAAGCTATAATTGTTAAAATTAAGCTTTTAGGTATTAGAAGCTGTTATAAGGTATAAAATTAAGAAATAAGTAGATCACATGTAAATCATTCCTAAAGCACAAGAAAAGAATGTGCCTTGATGTACATATACTATGTATAATTTAAATGCTTATACCAGTTTACTTTAAAAATGGCTTTAAAGATAAAGAATAAATGTGATAGTTGTGCATGCATTATACATGTATATATATTTGCATTTGCAAATTTTCCATTGTTTTAATTGCTGTGTGGCTGACTTTCAATTTTAAGAAGTGAATTGACATACAGCCTATAACGTAAATACTTAAATGGCTGCTCGTTTATATCTTACAGTTAGTGAAAAAGTATTTCAACCTGAACTAAAATTTGGAATTGTCTTTTGTGTTTCATCCTCACCATTGTTATTAGATTTACTTATTGTATAAGACCATTGATGTATGTCATGAATATGTAAATAAAAGATGTTGATCTTGTTTGAAAAGATAAGCTTTGGTGTTGACCTTGTCAGTATTTTAATTCATAAATCAGTAGCTAGTGTTGAGTATATTTTATATCTTAATTCATTTTTAAAAGGAAAGGGAATTGAACATATTAAAAATAACTATTAGAGGTGCAGTGCCTGTGGCTCAAATGGCTAAGGCGCCAGCCACATACACCTAAGGTGGCAGTGGGTTTGAATCCAGCCCAGG